GGTACGGTGTGCTGGCGTACCGCTGATACCTTTCCTTTTATGATCAAGCAAGGAAAGATATCTATTGATGCAGTGAAATGGGAAGAGGAAGAGCGAGGCTAATCTACAACGTTATATTACGAGAAAGGAGTTTGTTCCAGAGGTTCTTAAATATGAGTTGCCAATCAACGCCTTAGTTAAGAAAGGGTGAGGGTGAGTTCAGTTTGGAAGCCTAGTGAAATGTTTCAGAGTAATCGTATTGTAGCTGGGTACAACCTTTGTACTAAGGTAATATATGTAAGTTTTTCGATCTTTTTAGACCATTGACGTGCAGCCACTGACAGCGGAAGAAGCCTTTAGTAGGTCCATGATATATCAACCAAAGGTTGCCTGAGTTAAGGCGGATGATATGAAATCAGTAGGTAATAATACATTTGCTGTGTTCTACAAACAAGAACAATGAACAATGATTTATCACGGGATAAAAGCAAGTGCTTGACACGTCCCGTAGGATGGTTGAGGTGAATATGAGGAAATCAAAATATGTCTGGGTCATCTACCGAACGTCTGCCGAGATGAATAGTTTGCTAAGTAACATCAGTGTAAAATTAAAGTAAATTATCGAGCGTAAACGTTCAGAAAGACACTGGGGTGCAGTGATCATTGAGGTAAAGAGTGAGCAAAGTAAAATATGGTCGCTCACTTAGATCCGTTTGATACATAAATCCTGTTGTAATGCATCCTTGGCGTAATCCACACTAGGGGAGTTTAGGTAACAAAATGTTGGGAGCTAAGAGCAACATCTAATCGTTTTTTGAAAACATCCAAGGTAGGAGAGGATACAACTGAGTCTGGGAGTGTGTTCCAAGGTTTGCAAACCCGAAGGGAAAAGTAATTCCGTCGACACTCTAGACGGCTGTATTGTTCCTTCAACTTTAAGCAGTTACCCCTGAGCTGCGTGTTGGGGCTAAGTTTCAGCAAATGGAGGCATACGTGGTTGGGGTCACTCAATATTTGATACGCTAATATGAGATCACCGCGCAGTCTTCGATAGCGCCCGCTGAAAATTCCCAGCAACTTCAGCCTTCGGTGGTAAGAGTGATAGCGCAGGCCCTTCACATTTTTGTTGCTCTCCGTTGTGGTGCCTCTATCGCTTCTAGGTCCCGCTTCAACCAAGGTTGCCAAGCTTGGATAGCGTATTCAACATGCGGGCGCACGTAGGAATTGTGCATCATTGGGAAGATTGATGGGTCAAATCTTCCGAATGCTCTTCGCAACATGCCGACATGCTGGTTGCCTCTTTTCGCAGCAACCTCAGCCTGTTTTGAACAGTTGAGGTCGCTCTGTACGATCACACCAAGGTCACGTTCCTGGGAGCTATTCTGCAGTCCGTTGGTCCCAAGTGAATAGGTATAGTTATGACGATGGCGTAATTGTATGACGCGACATTTGTCTACATTGAACGGTAGGGCGTTTTGAAGTGACCAGTTCGACACTGTGTTAAGATCGCACTGGAGTCGTTCATGGTCGTCCGGTCCTCTGATCCTTCGCCATATCTTGATATCATCAGCGAAAAATAGGAAATCGGAAGTGATTGATCTCGCCAAATCGTTAATGAACACCAAGAATAGACGAGGTCCAAGAACCGAGCCTTGTGGAACTCCGCACGCCACATCGATTGCATCAGACAATGATTCTCGGACTCTCACCACTAACCGTCGTTCTTGTAGAAAATTGTCAATCCAACTCAGGATTGGGTCGCCAATGCCGTAATTCCGAAGCTTGTGAAGGAGAATGCGATGGTTTAAGCGATCAAATGCTTTTGAAAAGTCTAGGTAGATGACATCGACTCCTACTCCATCATCAACAGCTTCAGTCCAGCTATTACGTGCAATTAATAGGTTGGTATTACACGAATGCTTTTGACGAAAGCCATGTTGCTCTGGGGCTATTAAATTGTGGCTTTCCAGGTATTCCATCAGCGCATCTGCGACGATTGATTCCATCACTTTGGATAGTACGGGAAGTAGTGTTATTGGACGGTAGTTAGCAGGATCAGTGCGGCTATCTCCTTTATGAATAGGAGTGATGACCCCTCGCTTCCATACTGGTGGAATACGGTTCTCCTCTAGACATCACTGATAGAAAATAGCCAGTGGTGCTGCTAGATCACTAGCTACTGCCTGGAGAGCCTTTGGTCGGATGTTGTCAGCTCCAGGAGAACTGTGGATACGCAAGCATAACAACTTCTTCAACACAGCTTCCGCAGTGAAGGTGATGTTTTCTAAGCCAGATGGTGGAGTAGTAGGAATGAGGGGAATGTTTGTGCTCGTTGCCTCCTGGAAAGTTCGGGAGTAATGAAGCCGTAGGAGATCAGCTGCTTCCATTGCTGATCGCGTGCACCCATCAGCCGTGACTAGTGCTGAAACCGCTCGCTTTACCTTTCGAAGGCCGTTAACGTGCCTGTACAGGAGTTTGCGATTCATGCAGAATCGCTTCATTAACTTCTGCTGATGAGTGATGTTGTCTTCGAGGATCAGCTTCACACAGAAGTTACGATGGGTCACGTATGCAGTTCAGGTTTCGGCATTCGGGCAGTCCTGGTGATCTCGCCATGCCAAATCCCTCCGGGACATACATTTACGTGTCCTGCTCCTCAGAAATGAATTACGCTTGTTTTCATGTTGGAAGGACTTCTGCTCTGATGCGTGCGCTACCAGTGTACTAAACGTCCTTGTAAATGTTTCCCAGGCAACATCTGGTGGGCATTCGGTTAAGAAAGTCCAAGATGTATCCTTAACAAGCTAAGACAACACATTGTAGTGTGTGACAGTATGCACTTTATCCTCCTCCTTTTCAGGGTACTCCGCATAGCAAATATAGTCAAAGAGTAGAGTAACATGATCACTACGACCCAGTGGTGTGCTTGTAATTATCCCGCTAATCATGAGTTCTTCGTTAGTGAGCACAAGATCCAGTATCGACGGCTTATTAGCAGTTCGAAATCTGGTGGGGGAGGTTACGTGGTTGTACAGAGGGTGGCTAGCAATAAGCTCTTGCAAGCAGGCTTTAAACTGCATACCGTCGGTTGCTGGCGTTTCTATGTCATGCACGTTAAAGTCTCCCGCGATAAGAATGTGGGTGTAGGACTTGTTCAAAGCAAACTGGAAAACGTGGTTCAGTTTGGAGTCCATTTCCGAAGTTGAGTTTGGTGGGCGATAAATCACGGCTAGTAGGCATGTGTCCTTGTTTAGCAACCATAGGCGGCACCAAAGCGAATCGGGAGCTCGGATTTCCGGGTGGTCGATAACCTCACATCGGAGGTTTGTATTATAATAAAGAATCACACCGCCCCCCCCTTCCGGTTCTATCGGTCCGAAGCAGTGACATACCGGGTAAATTGATCTCAGAATCGGTTATCTCAGGGTTTAACCATGTCTCTGTAATTATGACGAGGTCCCGCGGTTGTGAGGCATGGAGTTCTCTAAGTTCTGCCAACTTGCTTAGAAGGCCTTGGGCGTTTGTGTACATGCAAGATAGGGCCTTTGTTTTTAGGAGTTCATTGGTAGATGTCAAGTTTGTGTTCGCTTTTAAGCCGGCCGTTAGGTGGCCGGCCATTAATCGTTTTTTGGTTTATGTATTTCAGTCGTGTTGCAAGGCATTATTAAGCGTCCCTGTACAGAAGTTTCACTGGTGCTGTGCTCGGTCCTCCTGTGTGCCGTGGGCGCTGTTGTGTCGGTCTCTCCGCAAGACTGTGCAGATAAGGAATTTGCTGCGTTTGTAAGTTCTGTTGGATAGCTTCCGACTTTTGGTCGTTCGTCTGCTGCTTTTAGCCGGATCTCTGTAGGCAACCTAGCTCGAAGTAAGTAGGGACCTACCCTTCGCCATTTACATGCACGGCGTGAGCGGTCCAGATTATCATCAAAAAATGCTACTAAGCGCAGTTCGATGGCGGGTTGTGGGAGCTGAATGGCGACAAAATAAATGCATGTCTGATGATTCAACATTTGGCAGGCTAGTTCGCTGCCCCGATGTCAATAAAATAACATAAACGGCCCTATCCCGGCTTAAGAGGTGTGTCGTACGAAGACTGATGTAGGAACTTGAGACTGTATATCGTCGGTTTCGAGCAAACATCGTAATAACTCAAAAGAGCTTACAGCTAGGTGACTTCCTCATGCTGAGGTTACTGCTGCATATGCGCGCACTAAGCAGTACACACATGTACCGGTAAGGGAACGGAAGTGGATAACTCACATTCTATGTTTCGAGTGGTGAAATGTTGAAGCTGTTTGCCAGTGACAGTAGTCGAGGTGAACTCGGAGTAGGGAATCAAGCAATTCCTAGACGTCCACTTTGCAAATTAGGAATATCGAGAGCGTATCGTCCTGTGAACAGGAAATTACGCGGCTGAAATGCATTGAAGATGCGCAGTATCAAATGAGGCCATTCTGTGCGTTTGCCCGATAATGTGTCCATGGAGCGACACAGATGAATATCTACTCGCACTCTGTTTCCGTATTCAGTACACAATAATTCCAGAACCGGTTATTTTCTGAACTTGTGCATAATATGCCGTTTGTGTAGTTGTTAATACTTAGTGTTAAGCTCGTTGATCGTGATCAATGCCCAGGATTGTGCAAACTAGCAATAGACCGGAAACTGTCATCAGATTCAAATCAGATCCAAATGAGTAGCATTGAAGGACAAACACATGGATGGACCATATAAATAAGATTAAAAACAAACAGTCGAGCATTTCGAGCCTTTAAGCGCAAAGATATGGTCATCGCGCAATTTTCAACAGATCAAAGACTAAAGTAGTGCGTGGTGAAAATCCCAATAACACGGTTTCTGTCTATATATAAAAGCACAAGTACAAAGTACATCCAGTTACCTAGTTTCTTCAGTTTTGGTAATATATATATTAAACACAAACGGTAGTCTGTTGCCATTCGGGAAATAGGGTTTAATCGTAAATCTAAATCCTTTAGATTGTAGTTTTCTTGTAATCGGCGAACTTCCATCAGATTTTCTATTGAGTTGTAGTACAGGTTAAGTACTTCCAACGTGTAGATATGTTCAATTCCCTAAATACACGAAAAGTGAGTATATATTACACATGTTTAACTCACTTTGGTACTTTTCAGCAGATTTCGTGATAGGTCCAAAATTTTCAGTCGAGTGAAACGTAACAAAGAGTTTCCCAGGTTGAGGATTTTCGCATCGTAGGTCCCCTGTAGTATTAGTGTCTTCACGTTAGCTGAAAGAAATGCGCACATTTCCCATAACAGAACGTTTTTACCGTAATTCTCCCCGGCAAGTTTTACTCTGCTCTTTATCCAATCTTCTGTTATGTCCATGAACTATTGATCATTCTACACACTTCATCCAGTGATAATAGTGAGATTTCGAGGCTATGTTTAAGAAGAAACTGGTCTTCGTTTGGTTTGCAGCATGGTTTGTAACAACTGAAAACACTAGTGTTAGAGCCAGCACCTGTAGAAATGAAAAACCGGGGAACAGCGACTAGTTCGTCAATGAAATTGTTCTCACTTAGGTACTATACAGTAACGTCCCGTCAAGTGTCCATAATGCTCAAGCGAGCTATTACTGCATTAGGAAAAGTGAAATCTCTGGCAAAATATTGTTGTGTCCTAGTAAACACAATATACAATATCCGTATGCGGCATTTCTTCCAGTGCTTTAAACTAAACCGACTTGAATGGCTGTAGAATTTTCAGTAGCAGACCGCAAATGTCTAAAGAAAACGGAGCGGAAAATTAAAATAGTAGAGGCAACTCAAGAATGAGATAACAAAATGCATTAACAGGGTGGCGATTAGACGATATCGTTACCTTATACGTAACTGCGTGGACCATAACTATGCAGCATTTTCGGCTGAACCGTCTCAAATAGATGTTATTGACCAAGTAAAGCTGAGTACGGTGGAGTTAAACCTGATAAACTTGAAAGCACTGGCGGAATACACAGCTACATGTTTTGCCAAAGGCTCTCATTTTATGTAAAAAGCGCAGCCTATGGTTGTAGCGGCTGTCTGTTACACCTACATTTAGACCGCTACGGAACAAATACTTAAGAGGAGCAGGCATTTCACTCATCTTGGTAGTTATTGCATCGTCTGGAATACCAAATACTGTAGTATGTGAGTAAGTAGAAATGTAAATCTGTAAAACCCCGTCCAAATGGGATTTTTCAGCGGTAAAGAACTATACGTAATCTGTCAATAATCTAATCGTCGTTTAAGTCCTCAGGTGACATCACAGACATAGCTGACTTACAGCAAATTGGGGCTTACAAATGTGAGATGTCATCGTTAGTGGGCAATCGTGTTTTGAATGGTAGGACAGAGAAATTCAAATTCGGTAATGTTTTGAAATGTTACCCTAATTTTACTTCACTATGTTTGCTGGCAGGCGGTTCCACAGACTTAACACTCTCTGTTTGAAGCGCAAGGTATGCGAAACCCGCTTCATGTCCAACATCAAAAGCTTGCGCTTGTGCTCTCGTGTGAATCTGGCTGCCTCAGTATGAGAAAATCACCTAAACTTAAAATAGGATAGGATATAATGTGATGGACTCAGGAACCGGCGACATGACAGGGTATACAGTACTGGTCTTTCGCACCGGTATTCTTATATCAAACACTGTAAGCTAGGGATAGACCTAGCAGCATGGTACTGGAACCCAACAATCTTCTGGGCCTCGCCTCGGGTGATCGGACAACAGACGGGAGAGCGATACTCTAGCATTTGCCGTAAGATGTAGGAAAAGAGGCAAGTTAAAGCGGCTCGATCATTTCTTCGTTCGTCTCCAAAATATTTAGATTCCCTGGGTACCAAGAGAGTTTAAGGTATCTAACTATGTTCGTCTGGTTGCGGTTGTTTGTTTGGCCCCGCATACATATGTGCAGTCCTCGACTTCGAAGCACTCTCGCTTTTCCCTGCGGTGCTGCCGATTCAGATAAGATCCCATAGCAAGCCTGCTTTATCGGTGTCGTCAAAGCCGTAGTCTATGGTGTAAGTACGACCGTCCACCCTCTTTCCTAGACTTATGAACACGGACTCGTCTGAAGTGACCAGAATCCGCAAATGCTATTGTTTGCTGTTAATGTTGGTACGACTAGTAAAAAGTCAATGACATTTACTAGGAAAACAAATCCACACATTAGTAAAATGCAACGAGAACACCTTTTCAACCTACCCCTGGTTAACTCTAAATGAAAGACTGTGACGTGTAATCATTTAAGAAGCCGGCTTACTTGTTCACTAAGTTTTATACAGAACTACTCCACTCGGGCACTTTAATCGAGGGAATAATTTTGATTTCAGCTAACCGGTGTTTGGTAACAAAGCTGATATCTCACTGAACAGCCTGAGTAAGCTTAATCAGCCAAGTTGGCTTCCTTACGCGAAGTGCACGAATCTTTATTGCATTTGCAAACTTACAACGCATTGTTGATCAAAGTTGTTCTCATTGGTTAAAGTCCCAGAGTAGCTTCTCGAGAAAATAACACAGTGCTATGAAAGTTAACAAGAAGCAGCATCTTTGTAGCCATAGGACTAAAGTATATGGTGAACACGCGCACATATTTGGCTGAATATTGCCTTGATTGCAGTTATCAATGAATAATTCTTTACTTTTTCGCAGATATATCATAAGTTTTCGGAGCACAAGTTTTCATCTGGTCTCTTAGTACATATATTGGGTGACTATGCGACGCAGTGTTGAAAACGATGCAACTAATAATGGGGCACCTATCGCTCACATCTGCAGTAATACGTAGGACCCAAAATGTAGGCGGACTGATAACATTGCAGATTCGCCAGCTTTACAGGAACTCGTAATATTAATAGAAAGAAGGCACATGAGCCCTTTGACAGTTAACTGTTCTAAGCACTGTATAAGCTTTGCGGCTATAAGATAGATGCTTTGACGTAAGCGTCATGCGGCATGGACTAACTGTCCACCTGAGTAGTTCAGCTCGAAACAAAACGTAGTGGTACAAGTGCAAGTTGAAGCTCAAGGGGACTGGAACGATAGGAGGAATTCCGTAAGTGTTCATTCTTGAGCGGGTCCTTGATCCCGGAGTTGATAGGCGTGCTCCCACTTCTTGATGGATCTAAAACGAATACACCCGTATCACACCCTGGTTCACTAATTTAATGCCCACGTTCCCTGCCATGCCAGTTATGTAAAGTAGGAAAGGATGAGAAATCGAAGGTAAATAGTAAGGGAAATCGTTTGAAAGAAAATGGAAAGTACAGAAAATAGAATCGAAGTAGGAAGATGGGAGTTAGTCATTTCCCTGCATGATGTCTAAAATATTATGAAAATATAGTTTTATCTGTACACAGGGAAATTAAGTAGTGTACCTGTCGCTCGTTGACCACCATTGTTTATATACACACAATTCCGGAATTCGGCCGCCGGAGTAAACATCCTGCGCCACCGGAGCGTTCCTTCTTTCATCTCCCTAGCTAGCTTCGTAAGGTATTTTTTAGATTAGCGAGCTTGTACGTTTCCTTAATAAAAGTATAGCTCGATCTACTTTTACTTGTCTTTTCACCGTCCGCTGGTTGGTTATGCGCACATAGTGGCCGTTTATCGATTCGCTATAATTAGTGACCCCGCCTATGAATACTTGTGGTAAGCCTATTACAAACCGTTTTTCAGATTTGGTCGTACATCCTGCTCGTTTACTTCCTTTGCCATATATTTTTCCTGATTAGTATACTTTTGGTAACTGCAACTACTTCGCTATGGACGTTAAACATTCAGACGCTGAGGATTCAATTAGTGGTGTTCCCGTACCAAATCCGCCTTTTCGGGAAGGTAACCTGAAAAGGTGGTTCGCTCAACTAGAGCCACTCTTTACGTTGCGTTCTTTTCAGATCTGAGGTCGAATTTCACCACGTTGTCATAGCACTTCCTCCGCAGGTGATCGGTGATCTCGATGACATTATAGATCTTCAAAAAACATAGAAGATCAAAGCTGCTGTTTTAAAACGAACTGGTATTTCAAACCGCAAACACATCACGAAGTTGCTTAGCGCACTCGAATTAGGTGAACTGAAACCATCTCAGCTCCTGCGTAAGATGCAGAGTCTAGCCAAACCATTCAACGTTAATGATTCGTTTCTCAAAGAGATTTGGCCTAGCTGCCTCCCACGCGAGATGTGCAACATCCTTTACGTTAACGCAGACATGTCTTTACCTCAGCTGGTCGACATGGCTGAGCGTAGCTGGAAAGCTAAGGGTCGAATCGCGCATATCCAAGCAAAACAGCAAGATAACGTGGCGCAATTAGCATCAACCGTTGCTATGTTAAGCAAACAACTCCAAGTAATAGCAACTTTAGGGAATGCAGCAAGGAAACGCTCTAGGAGGTGATTCCGCTCGTCACGTTCCAAGTCTCCTTCGCGATCCCCGTCTAAGACACCTACCCATTGCTGGTACCATAGACGATTTGGAGAGAATGCCAAATCCTGTCGCCCATCATGCTTTTTCTCGCGCAAGTAACAGGGAAACAGGCCGACCAGCACGTAGGGGCGACGGAGATTGCTGGTTGCCACAGTCGCCTTTTATTTGTAAACGATCGAGAAACGGGAGTTCGCTACTTAGTGGACACTGGCGCCGAAGTTAGCGTTCTTCCCCGGGATAAAAAGGACCCGAATGAGAAGGCAAATAGTTCACTGCGCGCAGCCAACGAAACGATTATTCGCGTATACGGTCAACGCTCGTGCACACTTAATGTAAGTCTACGACACTATTTTAAATGGATTTTCCTTGTCGCAGATGTTCAGACGCCAATTATTAGCTTGGATTTCCTGTAGCACTTCGACTTGCTTATAGACGCAAAGCACCGTCGTCTGATCGATCGTCCTACGAACCTGGCAGTTATAAGCACTTTGACCGACATTGACTCAATCAGTCTTGTATACGCCAACCAATCAACCTCACCTATCGGTCAGATGCTTAATAGCAAATTCTCGCAAGTCTTCCGTACCATGGCACCGTTGCCATCCGCCACTGATGTTGCAAAACACCACATCGTTACCAAAGGTCCGCCCATATTCGCTAAAGCCAGGCCAATGACCACCGACAACCTGAAGATCGCCCGTTCGGAATTCGAGCATATGCTTGAGCTAGACATTGTTCGGCTGGCTTGTCGAACAACCTCCTCATGGTGCCAGCTGGGTAGTTCGAGATTTTCCCGTTCCAGCAAATGGTTCGGTGTCAGTGTTCCAGGACGTGGTAGGTTTTCGCCTGGCAAGCGTTCGCCCGATAAAAAGCCACAAATGTCTGTTTGACAACACTGTGACGTGTCGGATGTGACTCGCCACTAAATAAAGTCATTGCCCCTTGCCCATCCATGAGAGGCATTGTAGTTCAAGGGTGTGTTGAGTCCCTGATCCTTCACGGACTGAAAGGTGCACGAACCATCTATTTGGTCACCGAAGCACAACGGGTTACGACGCTTTCGCATCGCCCTGTTGCCTTGTAGGTTAGATCTTTGATCAAAGGTTCTAGGTAAGGACCCCTAAGACAACCGTCTACTTTGGCCTGGGCAACCGGGTACTATCACGCCCACTGACGAATCATGGACCACACAGCTTACTACTGCTCCTGCTATGCTTATCTTCTATGCTAACTCAACTGCTTAACCTTCACTCACAGATCACCCCACCTCCCGTCCTTCACCTATATATACTTATATCCTCTCCGGTCACCAGCCAAC